GGATTTTTCATACTTTTATTTGTCTTTGCACAAAGTTCAAGATACATTTATACCACCATTCTTACTTTCAAATGCCAAAACAGAAGGTCATAGTTTAAATGGGCAAGCTATGAAATCATCAGATTTTACAACAGACAGAAATTCCTAACTTTTGCTTCCTCAGATTTTAAAAATTATCGTAAATTAATAGATTGCAAAGTAATGACACTCAGGAAATAACATATCAACAATCCTGGCAAGATTAAAATTGCTGCTGGATCCATTTATTGCAGAACAGTTTCATAAAGATGAAGGCCTGACAAGACAGTTATATTATCTATGTTGATCTTCTGTATCTTACAGAACATCTGTAACATTTCATCGCTTGGCCTATAATAAGCCTAGTAATTAGGCTACAGTGTTCTAATACAGGAAAAAAGCTATATATGCAACAGACCACCACAAAGGCCAAGTCATAAGCAACAGTGGTGAACTAATTATTGGCAAGACTAGACTTCATGATCCCACCAAGCAATTTATATGCTGTTATTGCATATTAATTCCTCTGCAGCACTTTCAGGATCAATTTGATTTTAAGCACTTGAACAAAGCCTAGCAACCAAACGTTTATGAAAGACAGTTTCCTGTATCACTTCAAACAGCAACAAACATTATTTGAACACTGTAAAACATAGACAATTCAGACATTTAAATCCAATTTGTTTAGTTCCAAGTCAAAGATAAATTAATGGCATTTTATATTGTCTTAAAGTATCCCATGCAGAGGGATAGACATGATGACTTCTACTTGGGGGTGGGTAATCTTTAAAAGCTCAAAAATAGGAAGCTGATGCTTCAGTTCTAAACTGAAAAAAAGAATTCAGATTAATTTTTAATAAAAAAACAAAGTAGCTGTCCTGGTTTCAGCCGGGATAGAGTTAATTTTCTTCATAGAAGCTAGTATGAGACTATGTTCTGGATTTGGGATGAGAAACTGTTGATAACGTGCTGGTGTTTTGGGTTGTTGCTGAGCAGTCAAGGACAGTTCAGCTTCTCATGCTGGGCTGCCAGCAAGAAGGCTGGGGGTGCACGGGGAGCTGGGAAGGGACACAGCCAGGACAGCTGACCCAGACTGGCCAAAGAGATATTCCCTACCATATGACATCATGCTCGGTATATAAAGCTGGGGCAAAGAAGAAGGAGGGGGTGGAGGGACGTTCGGAGTTATGGCATCTGTCTTCCCAAGAAACCACTACGTGTGATGGAGCTCTGCTTCCCTGGAGATGGCTGAACACCTGCCTGCCCATGGGGAGTGGGGAATGAATTCCTTGGTTTGCTCTGCTTGCGTGTGTGGCTTTTGCTTTATTTATTAAACTGTCTTTATCTCAAACCATGAGTTTTCTCACTTTTATCCTTCCAATTCTCTCCCCTGTCCCACCGTGGGGGAGTGAGCGAGCGGCTGCGTGGTGCTTCGTTGCTGGATGGGGTTAAGCCATGACAGTAGCTATTAGAAAAACTAAACCAAGTCAGGAGTTCCTTACACTTCCCTTGGGTTTGGCTTGGTTTCAAGATAAGACCAAATGTCCAAAAGATAGAACACACAGTAACACTCACTGAAGCGAGTGTTTCCTGTTAAGGAAAAACATTGGCGACATTTTAACCCTTGGTACCAAGATCTACTAGCAAGATCAGAAAAAAATAAAAGTATGGAGAAAATAAGCAGCAGGAAAATTGCATCAGTGCAAACAAAGAAGTCCTCAAAAAAGCTTACACAAAAACATAGTATGTGTAGCATGACATTAGAAACTTGTTTTGTGAACTATATAACCTCAGCTGTCTGTGCATTCTGATGTGCTTCTCTATCAGCCTATGTCAGTAAGCACGTCACTGTTTCTGTTTTGGGATTCTTCTGCTTTCCAACTCACCAGGACTAATTGCTCTTGGTTGTTTTGGCTGAAGTCCCAGAGAAAAAACAACACCCTTGAGTTAAGTCTCTTAGAGTTCAAGAAGCAGCAGGTGCTCAAGGAAATCTTCAACCCGAGTCCCTAGCACAGCCTCTGATAGGGCATGACTTTTTTTCCCCAAACAGGAATATGGAATTGAGATACAGACAGCCCGAATGAAGAGCAAGAAAGCAATCTGCTCAAGACAAGAACTTCCTCAACTTACGTTTTTGGGTTTTTTCCCTAATGCTGCAGAAGTGACCCTGAACTTAGGTTGATCACATCCCAACAGAACTTGCTTAGCTTTCTACTTTGTATTTAACCTGGGTGCCTCACGGAAGCTGTCCTGATCAAATACAGAGCTCTGATTTTAGGTCCAAAATAATGGAAGTAAAGGAATCCACACTTTAAAACAACAACAGCCTCCCCAAAAAACCCCTGAACACCTGTATGACCGTATTTTACTATGACAGGTCATGTTTATGAAAAACTTGAACTTAAATAAGACACTCAAAACTAAGTGAAATTAGAGAAGACAGCGATGATGTTCTTCCTGTTTACCTAACAGATTGGTGGTCAAAGCGTGATAGAGGAACCTTTACCAAAATCATTACTACTTCACTACTGTCTTCATGATTTGTGAACCAAGGCCGACAAATTTTCTTTTCCTTACAAATCCCCAAAAATGTTTTGTTCTGCACCGAATGAAGTATTTAGTGCCAAGCAGAAGGATTTTTTTAATTTCTCATCTCAACTAAAAAACTCCAAGACCTCTTGGTTCAAGCAAAACACAAGCCTTCTCTCCTCCCTGTTTCCTTAGCACTGAATCTGTACTTGACTACTGTATCAAAGGTATTAAAAAAAAAAAACAAAACAAACCAAAAAACCCCACCACACATGGAAGACCTATGCAACAAGCCACAGGCCACTACACTTTTAATTTTAAAATTAAAAATGCTACATTTCTCATAAGTCATGAGCCTTTTTTCATGTACTGTTTTGACTTTTGCAATGCTAAATCCCTTGCCTAACAAAGAGATGTTTGATTCTCTCTCAAACTAGCAACTCCTTTTCTTCTTACATTCACGTTTCTTTTGTCGTCTTTCCTCTTTCTTCACTCTTCTGCTTCTAACTCCCTGTTAGACTTGCATGATTTGGTTTTCACTCCCTTTCTTACAAGAAGGCTGCTTTTAATAAAAAGGAGCCAGTGTCCTACTAATGACAAACTCCTAGAGCATCTTCTTCACTTTTACTCTCACCAATTTTTTTTTTTCGTCCGCAACTTACCGTTTCCTTTTCACAGACACTCCTCTCATTCACCTTCTGTTTAGTTTCAAGAACTATGTACTTTCCTGAAGTACCTCTTACATCCCTAATTTTCTTTCCTTTCTTACTTCCCATATGCCTTTTTTAAGCTCGCATTGTTGGGTCATTACTTCTTTTCCCCCTATATCCTACTTCTAGATCATTTAATCATCACTAACAAATTAAGTATTTAAAGCTATTCTTGCAGCCATTCTCATGGCTTTAAATACTTCACTCTCACTTTCTGCTCATTCTGGAATCTCAAAAGAAAAGGAAAAAAACAGATCAAAACAAATCCCCTTAGTTGTTTTTACCATTTTTCATCATAACTCTCTCATTCAACCCCACCTGTGAGCATTTATTGTAAAGCATATACTTCAAAATCTACAAATCTCCCAAAACCACATGCAACTGATTTAATGCCTTGTATTGAGAACTTTACAACCTGAACAAAATGCATAAGGCTTAATTCCTTGCCTTCCCATAAACACTTTAATTTTCAAAACAGCCCATGCTAAGTCACAACAAACTACTATGACAAAAGATGTTTTTAACTATACCACTCTGTCAACATAAATTTGGGGTTTTCTGTTTGAAGACACTGATAGGCGCTCCCTTTTGCCCATTGGTGTCTCATTCTTGCTTATACCATTACATGTTGCAAAATAAAGACTCGGTATACTTTGACCAATACTCATTTTAAACATTTAGTTTCAAGAGATTGGAGTACATAGTGTTTGTTTACAGTAGGTTACAATATTACATGTCACTTTAATCATTATGCCTTAAAAGAATATTCAATATTCATTGTAACAAACTCAGTTTAAAACCCCACCCTAAACCTCTGTGATACTTAGTTTGTAATGACTAAAACATCAAGAACACTCTAAATAATATGCTGGGAACACAATGTGGCACAGTTGAAACTGCATCCATAGTCAATTTTGGAAAATCTAGGTTTTGGGGTTTTTTTAAATAATTTTCTGATAATTTGGACTGGTCCAAAGATCACTCATTTGGAAAAAAAAAGTCTGTTCTATTTTACACTTTCAAACTTCAAGAAAATGGATGAATAGTTTATTTATTTATTTTGATAATCCTATGCAGAGTCTTAAAATACCTAAGACTGTTTTGCTTGTTTTATTGGTTTTCTCTTATTTGTCTGCACATTGAACCTTGTTACAAAATAGACGAAAGGTTTTTTTAGGATGAGTTTGTTGGTTGGGCTTTTTCGTTTGTGTTTAACTGTGTCTTGATAACACCAGATCTAAATAATGTCTAATTCAATTCTGCATAACAACTAACAATTGAAGAGCAACAATCTTACTTTTAAACTAAAAGCATATGGAAGATTGAAGAAGTTGTTTTACTTTTCATTTCTTCCACAGGCACCTAACTCCTCAAAATTCTTGTGTGTACACACAAGATGTCTTCTAAAAATGCCACCGTTAATTACACAACTTATAGAATTATGCATACAATTAACCAAAAAGGAAACTAAGCACAATATGAAACATTGATTTAAAGGAAAAGTAACGTATAAAAAAGGCACAAAGACATATAGACAGAGTATACCAGGGTATACACCACTCAATAGTATGTTAACTTGGCAATAAGGCTTTAACAGACCAGAAACAGTCTGCATATAACTTGCTTGCCCCAGCCACAAGAGACACACCCAAATTTCAACTAAAGGTAATAGCTGTCTCAGCAAGACGGCACATCACTGCTACATGAAGTTGATCTATGAAGTCATTTTCTTGGAATACTTACCACTAAATCCCAGTTATTTTGCTCAAGCAACGTTATAGCTTCATCAATATTTTCAATACCAGTACATGCCTAAAAAGAAAAAGAAGCAGTAAACAGAATTAAAAGTCTTGATCAAAATCAGAGTATTAATAGTTATAATTTAATTAATTTCAGCAGAAAGACAGAAAAGGTATAGAGTTTTCATTTCCATTAGGAGAAGGTAATCCAGAAATCAGATTTCAAGTTTTAAAAAAAACAAACATTTGGATATAATTCCCTGTTCCACCAGAGGATTCTTGTGTGACCTTGAGCAAGCCACCTAGGGAAGCAAGATGAAGTAGTTATTTGTAAAATTAGGACAATAGTGCTGTCCCATAAAGGTGTTTTGAGAATTCTATGTTCAAAATTATACAACACTCATACTACCTTAAAAGGGAGCACAAAAATACTTAAAATTATGTTTGAGACGGATTAAATATTTTGTCTAAAGCCAGAAACACATATATAAACCCTAGTGCCTCCACCATCATCTTATATCCCTACTCACTCTGGGTGTTACACAGTGCAGTGTAAGAGGCAAAGAAGGTGAAAAGTATGAATTTTTGATCATCAAATTGCCAACTTACTACTGCATGTACAAATGAGCACCCCTTGTGAAACTATTTAAAATGAAGACTATATAATGAAACATTTACAATGTTTTCCTTTCAGACAAAATGATTGATGTTGTTCTAGCCCTACACTCTGGCTTTACCTAGTTCAAGGAGTCTTATACAATAGCATTTTTAAAGTAATGATAACATCCCACAAAATGGTACTGTAAATTGAACTTAATTCCAAACACAAGAGAGCACTTCTACTCAGCCAAAAACTTTTTTTTTTTTTTATACCCATATCTTTTCACCTACTCAACTTCAGCAGGCAGAGCATTGCTATTCATTCTGCCCCATATTTGCTACCATTCATGTTGAATGATGTCAGATATATTTCACCAGAAGGGAAAAATGGAAATGGTTAAGTTTCTTTCTGGAATTTATCTTTCCTCCTAATCAAAGCTATGTTCTGTGTTCAAGCACACAAGATAAGTTCAGACTTTTACAAGATCTGAAATATGATCATGTTCCTTCTGCTCTACCACACAGTTACATAAAAAGCAGTTTGTATAAAGTTTATATAAAATGACATTAAAAAAATGCAACCTTTTAACAGTAATAATATAGAGTTAGATAGCAGCAGCAAACAGATCAATTTTCCTGATTCCAAAGATATACATTCTGGTTTTTCCTTTAAGTGATAGAAAAAGGGGTCGAGGCAAAGAAACAGACACTTTTTCTCCCAAGACATAAAAAGCCATCAAGTCATACAATTTTCCATGCTCTAACTTTTCTCCCAACTTACAACAATGAAGAAATAAAAAGTAAAGAAGAAATCATAGAGAAATTCAAAGCCAATTCTCTCTTCCCAAATTCAATGCTGAAGAATTACATGCTTATGAAGCATTATATGCAGTCTGTCTACACAAAATGGACCAGTCTGGAGAACCACAAGATCACAAGAAGACATTCTAGAGATTTTTTTTGCCTGCAGAAGGGAGGCAGCAGTTTCTATTGATCCACAGTACTCTCATGGCCAGCCTGATTCTCTCTGGAACAAGACAAAATTTCTTCCATTGCTCACAGTATGTTGTGTTTATACTGAATTTCACCCACTTTGCATCTGGACTGCTAAAAATTTTTTTAATAATACACTTTTGCTCTTCAGAAGCATCATTCTTCCTTCTCTTCCACTGCTTCTCACAGTTACTTCTGAAGTTAAAAATGAGACAACATTTTAAACACTTTCACAACATTTAAACACATACACTTACGCTAGGTAAGCTTGAGGAGTGCAGGGCTTGAGCTTGTAATTTCTGAAGTCACAAAAGGGTTCATACTACCATAAACCTGCCACTGAAACTGATGTCAACATTTTCTTTGGGAAAAAGTTTTGCAGAAGCAACAGTCTAAGGTTCTGTTTTCAGTTAAGTGAAAAACACTTTAAAATCTGGTCATTATTGAAATAGAGAGTTACTATTTCTCATTTATCAGCCCTGCAAACTCTGCATGACCTTTGTGAGAACTAAGCTGTGTTCCAACCTACAATAAGAACCTGACCAATAATGTGTTGTTTTCAACCCTGGGCTGTGCAGATGCATTTGAGGAGAGGGTGCCTAGAATTCCGGGCTCAAATACCAGTTTTAGTTGCTCCCTCTTCCGTATCACCCCTGCACCTCAGCTGACTTGCAGCTGTCCATACACACACTCTTAGCCCACACTAACTGCAAATCAGTTCAGCTCACTTTGGCATACTTTTATTTTGAGATAAACTAAACAAAATTAGCTTACCCTTCTGCCAGAGCACACAGTGAAAGGAGTTAGCTCACCACAGTGGAGGCAGAGTAATTAAGCAACTAATTCACTTGTATGTCTGCATCCTTCCAAAATTATCTTGCTGGTGATTTACAATGTAAAATAGAACCCTGCTCCTTCCCTCTTAGCAATGCAGAGTCATTGGTGTAAAAGGAACAGACAGGTATAAACAGTAACTAAAAATTTAAAAAACATCAGAATACTTAATAGCCAAAGAAAGCAGTTTTGTTGAAAACCCTTGGACCATTTTTACAGTCACTTTTAACATTTCAGTTCTAATACTAAGATTTTACTTTCCAGATGGACTATTTTTGCTAGTTGTCAACAAAACAGAAAACAAACATTCCTGAATGACAACGACGAATATGTACTACTTAACAATGTAACCATAAAACGCCCTGTTAACCTCACAGTTGCAGCAAAGCAATGTTTTCCAGAATAATATTTCAACATGAAGGAGGAGTGACTCAGACACCACACACTTCCATATACAAACCCCTGCATCAAGTCATGATCCATCATCAGTCTAAACACCAGCAAGACAAATAAAAAAAAAAATTAAAATTGTTTCCTTTTAACTCCATCATACCATGCAAGACAAATTCAAGAAAATTATCTGGTTTGTGCCTTTTGAATTTTCCCTAAGAAAGTAAGCACACAAGACAGGCAGGTGTCCCTCACTGGCAAGCGTGACATGACTTCAAGGACTCCTGGAGGGGCAGGTTAGTCCCAGAACAACCCGGACTGCTTCTGCCTTTGTTTTCTGTAGGGAGGAAGGAAACCAGCGGGTTCTGTGAGCCACAAAACTAACAAAGTCTGGTTCCTCATGAGTATTTCATTCCTAATTGCAAGGGCTGATTTAACTTTTTTCTGTGGCTGTAATATTTATAAGGGTCTCTTTTGATAGACTTCTTTCCACATTACCCAGCTGTATTTTCATGAAATTTCGAAGAATTTAATTGGTATGAGTCCAGAGGTTCAAAAGTTATTTGTGGGGACACCTGGGCACCATAAGCCTGTGTGTCTTACTTTTTTAGGAAGGCAGACTAAAAGTCACAGGGATTACATAAAGATCTTTTGCTCATTTTGATATCTTTCATTCTACCCAAGCAAGAAGCAAACAAACAAAAAAAAATAGGGACAAAAATCATGTCAAATTCATGCAGAAACAGAAGGAAAAAACTCTTCAAGATATAGCAAAGTGAATGAGCTCCAAAGACACAAAAACACGTCTTTGTTACTAAGCAAGTAAAGTGACACTAGTTGATGAGAATTTTTTTTTGATTCACAGATTTTATTCAGCTTTATTTTCATGAGACCTACTTAATAAAAAGCATTGAATATTTTAGAAGAAAATTCCTACCGGAATACTAACTCTTGATTCAACCAAGAACGAGCACATCAGCACATCCTTTAAGTCAAACTGAAAGAAACAAACCACCACAGTAAAAGTAAAACCTTCAAGGCTCACTGACTGGAAGACCTTTACACAAAAAGAAACCAAAGAATTTTTTTTGGAGGACAATGGGGAAGAAAAGGTAGAACAAGTTCCTTCTCCTCCTCTCTGCATTTCCTCTGTATCTAGGATAGCATTTTCACCCTTCACAGCAGCTCCAGAGACTGTGCAGTCTCTTCTGTGTTTTTTTCCGACCACACAAGATGAAATTTAATGCAAAAATGAGAAAACTATAGTTTTGCATTGAATGCATAAAATCAGATTCTGAAGATAAAGTTAAAACAACTTTCTTATCATCCTGCTCTTCCAGGCCAGGAAAGTGTTTCCATCAGGCAGATTTAGATTTGCATATAATAAAATTTCAGAGCACTTCTCCAAACTTTTTCCAGGTAGCTTTTCAGATTAACCATCACCTTAGTGATGGACAGCTTACCCTTGGAAAGATTCACAGCTAACCATCAGGGGTCCTATATAACTGGCACAGTAACCTTAATTACTGTTACATAAAAGCCACTGAGGAAACAACTCAGTAGGAGAAAAGTCAGAGGGCAGACAGACTTCAAGGCATTCAAGACAAGTGTAGGAGGTGCTTCCAGAAAGCTATAACATAGGATGACAGACTTGCTCTTCTAAATCCCTTGCAGGGTGGTCTGACCCCAGCAGCTGTAACAGCTGGATCTGGGTTTTAAGACCCTCTGTGACCCCCCCACCTCAACAGCACAGGCTTTAGCCTACCTCCACATCACAGGAAAGCAGCTGACTTCCCCATCTGGCGGCAGCTGCTGTTGAAAATGCTCCTCCTGCACCTGCTGCAGAGATCCTGGCAGTTGTTACACAGCAAAGCTGGAAGGGACAACTGCTGCTCCTAACACAGAGAGCCAGGCTGTTACTTCTGCAAAAGCTGGGAAAGCAACAAACAGCTGCTGCTGACTCAAATACAGAGTCAGGCTACTGTTGCCCCTACAGACAGTGGGTGGCAGTTGTTGCACAGAAGCTGGGAGCAAATGGTATTTGGCAGCAAGGCAGAATTTATCTCACCTGTGGCACCATTCCCCTTCTCACCAAGGCAAAATGCAGCAGTCAAAAGTATCCAGAAGACCTCATTCAGCCTAACAGCCAGCAGTTGGATATAGAGGACTTAGAAGTCTGCCCCTCCCAACATTTTTGTTGAATTCCATATTTCCTTTGACTACCAACAGTAGCTATATTCTCTCCAAACGAGGACC